CGACTGAAAAATGAAGAAAATATTTAAAATTGAAATAAAGTATTAAAATATAATACTTAAAAATGAATTATTATAACTTTTAACTCCACATAGCAACGATCTTGGTCCGATGCAGAGAAACCGGATGAAGAACCCGCTGAATCGCCAACATTTTGCGAGAGTTGGGTAAGTCATTGAGTTACCGTGCTTACAACTCGTTCTGCACGGGGATCGACATATGTCCCATCGGACTTTTTGTGTGTCCGAGCGACCAACTCTACAATTGATGGAGTTCTCCCCATTTCTTTCTCCTATATATATATATTATTAACAGAATAAAAAATCTACAATTAAGAGTTTGGGGAAGAAACCAGTCTTAAAGCATTTAAGAGTTTGGGTTTGTCTAACAGAGACGAAACAAAATATCCCAATGAGGATAAATTAGATCCTCGAACAGCTGGTGTTATTTTGTTGGATACGCTGAGAAATCAAGGGGGTACAAGTTTTATAATCCGAAGAACTGAACTATGTTCGAAACGGGAGTAACTCATTTCGAGTTTGGGGAAGAAACCAGTCTTAAAGCATTTAAGAGTTTGGGTTTGTCTAACAGAGACGAAACAAAATATCCCAATGAGGATAAATTAGATCCTCGAACAGCTGGTGTTATTTTGTTGGATACGCTGAGAAATCAAGGGGGTACAAGTTTTATAATCCGAAGAACTGAACTATGTTCGAAACGGGAGTAACTCATTTCTTTGAGGATGTTGAGTTTGAGGTGGGAGATAAAGTAAGAAAAGTTGATCAACACATCAAGATCAACAAGACAACACTCAACTTCCCGAACAACTTCAAGAAGTTGATCCAGAAATTCAACCTCAACAAACTCAAGAAGAAATGCCATTAAGGAGATCCACTAGAGAAAGAAAAAGTGCGATACCAGACGATTATATCGTGTTTCTTCAAAAGCATCAAGAATGCTTAGATTTGATTGATGATGATCCAATCAACTTCAGTCAAGTCTTGCAAATCTCGGATTCTTAAAAATGGATAGATGCCATGAATGATGAGTATAAGTCCATGCAAGACAACAATTTCTGGGAACTTGTTCCATTACCTGAAGGCACGAAACCTATTGGTTGTAAATGGATATTTAAAACCAAAAGAGATTTTAAGGGTAATGTGGACAAGTATAAAACTCGTCTTATAGCTAAAGGTTTTACCCAGAAAGAAGACATTGACTACAAAGAGATTTTCTCTCTAGTTTCATCGAAAGACTCTCTTAGAACCATAATGGCATTAGTAGCTCATTATGACTTAGAGTTACATTAGATGGATGTAAAGACGACGTTTCTCAATGGAGACATTGATGAGACGATCTATATGCAACAACCAGAAAACTTTGTAATTGGAGATGCAAAGAAAATGGTTTGCAAATTAAAGAAATCCATCTACGGGCTAAACAAGCATCCCGTCAATGGTATCACAAATTCCGACAAGTAGTTTGCTCATTCGGTTTTGAGTCAAATGTTGTTGAGGAATTCATATATCATAGGTTTAGTGGGAGTAAATGTGTTTTCCTAATTTTGTAGGTCGATGACATACTGTTAGCCTCAAACGATATAGGTTTGATGCATGAACCTAAGGTTTTTTATCAAAGAAATTTGAGATGAAGGATCTTGGTAATGCAACCTTTGTATTAGGGATCCGAAGAACGACTTTGAGCGAAAGCATATGGAAGACAATATTCCTTATGCTTCGGTATTTGGAAGCTTAATGTACGCTCAAGTGTATACGCATCCAGATTTAGCGTACGCAGTTAGGATGTTAGGAAGATACCTAAGTAACCTTGGTGTGGATCATTGGAAAGCAGCCAAAAGGGTTTTAAGGTATTTACAGAAAACCAAACATCTCATGTTGATTTATAGAAAATCAGATCATTTGGAGATCAAAGGATATACCGATTCTGATTTTGCTGGATGCCAAGACAGTCGTCGATCCACTTCAGGCTATGTTTTTCTGTTAGCCGGTGGAGCTGTGTCATGGAAAAGTGTTGAACAAACACTAATGGAAACTTCAACTATAGAAGCAGAGTTTATAGCTTGTAATGAGGCATCTAACCATGGAGTATGGTTGCAAAACTTTGTCATAGGGCTGCGTATAGTCAATAAAGTTGAAAGACTGTTAAAGATATATTGTGATAATAAATCAGTAATAATGTACTCCAATAACAACAAGAGCTCGTCTAAGTCAAAGCATATTGACATTAATTTCCTGGTTGTAAAAGAGAGAATACAGAGTAACCAGATAATTGTAGAACAAATCGGAACAACTTCAATGATTGCGGATCCGTTTACTAAAGGCTTACCACCCGGGGTCTTTCTTGAGCATGTGACTCAAATGAGTGTTGTATCATTTGATGATATGTAGTTTCAGTGGGAACTGTAAATAAAATTGTTCTATGAATAAAAGAATTCTGTAGAAATAAGGTTTATCGGTTACAAGACTCTTAAAGTTGAAGGTCTCCATCAAGAATTGGACCAGTTGAGAATCAGGATATGTCCAAATAAAGACATAAGATTTTCATGTTGCATACCTATACATGATCTATGTCGTTGGGTAGAGTGGCGTAACGTGATCTTGGAAGGTTTAGTTGTGCACTAATGCAACGAAAGTCGCTTTGGTCCTTACGTTACATATTCAATGGACGAGATTGTTAAAGTGTTCACAAAGAACAAGCAATTTATGAGATCACTAAAGAAAATTCATATTTACGGGATTATAGACATTCAACCAAGTGGGAGATTGTTAGAAATTCTCTTACAGCTATATTTTGGTTTTAATATCATAATCAATATATGGTATAATTGTTGTTTAATGTGAAGATTATGACCATTAATTACGTGTGGTCAAATATGCAAATACAGAAAAGTATAGGGGCCAAATAATTATATAGATGCCATGAAGTATAATTTTCTAATTCTTTATGGGTGGATTTGGAAATTACACAAACATATTACTATAAATAGTGGTAATGGTCCCTAGGCTAAATGGACAGAAAATTTGTGTGCACCCATTTGTCACAGAATAAACTTTCTTACGTGATATCCTAGAAGACTTTCTACCCACTCTGTCATTTGTCAAGTTATCATAGATTCAAGTACGTTCTAAATTCCAGAATAATTTTTTGTGTGATTTGCATAATGATTGGTCCAGTATAAAATATTCCGCAATATATATAATAAAGTATTTTTGCAAAATACTATCAATGACATGTATTCAGTGTCCTCTAAGGTTTTTTTTATTATGCCAATATTTGCATTAATTAAGACACAATACGTATAGAACTCAAGCTTAAACCTTAATTATATGAGATACCATGCTTAAGGCTTTTATTAAACGCTCCAGACGGAGCCATTATCACCCATAAATGCAATGGTTGGATTTCTGTCGATTACATCCGATTGAAAAACTGACGGGTTGAAACGCAAACAATCGCAAACACAACAAAATATAGAATTTCTAATCGCTATTTTGTATTTGCATTTCAAATGTGTTTTGTGACGATTAATTAAAAATACAAAATACCTTTTTTTAAAAAAATAATATTTTTTAATAATAAAATTATTTTTTATCTAAATATAAATTAAAACGATAAAAATTATATTTAAATTATTTTATAAATTTAGTAGATAGTTTTTTTGTCAAATAATAATAAAATTAATTAAACTATTTTAAAATATATATTAAAATCATGTTATTTTTATTAATTTACATCAAACCGTAATTGCAACTGTAATCAATTATTTACCTGACAACAACAACAATTTATCAAGTAGTCGATACCAAGTATTGAAAAAGACGACACTACAATCGCAACCGTACTACCAGTCGATCCTTATAGGGTTCAAATTAACACACACTTCATAATCCTTAGTGAAGTTTCTTCCGTTTGTTTGGTTTTCTGTTATTAGCTATGGACCATGGTTTGTGAACCAAAGATCCATTGATCCGACCAAAGACAGGCTTTGTACCAAGTAAAATATATAGGAATGGTAGCTCTTTTGTTACGTTTAACATGATACAGACTCTTTGGTTTAGCCATTGTTGCAAAGCTATCCTAGAATTGGAAATGAGAGCATTCTCCATCGATCAAGTACTGGAACCTTGTAGAATGTTCCGGATCTCGGCCCGTTGATAATCTGAAAGTCTTCGAGGGAACTTTGTCCAAAACTTTATCATCAAATCTCCTCTCTTCTCCTTCTCCTTTGCCCTGGGCATCCCTTTGCCTTGAATTACCATGGTGTATCCATGGTGGATAACGTCGTCTATCCTTAAATTAATGTTGTCCCCATCGAGCAATTGGACAGAGATCTCGCAGCCTGTCAAGGCTTCAACAAGAGGGATCTCAACCTCCATCTCGAGATCGTCTCCTTCCCTCGTGAACAGATCGTGCTCTTTCTCCGTGATCACAAACGTCAAGTCAGCTGGTGCGCTCCCCATTGCTTCGTTTCCTTTCCCTTCGAATGTAACCTTCGTTCCTCCTTTCCATCCCGGCTCCACTTTTATCTCCACCATCTCCTCCTCCCGGCTTACCTCCCTGCAACAATAAGGATCCAAACACGATAGAAAACTCGTTTTTCCGGGCATTTTCAAGATTTGAGATTGGCGGAAAACGAAAACGAACCCTGAACTGGTCATGACATCTCTCTTGATCTTGATTTTCTTGGTGCACCCTTTGCACAGCTCCTCGAGCGTGCAGATGAGTTCTTCTTCCGTGGGAGGAGGTTTAGCCGCCGTTGCCGTGGAGCTTGAGTACAATATCGGGTTTGTGAAGCTTCTCTGGGCGCCGTTCCCTGCTGTCCTCGTGAATGATGGTGCGAATCTGGAAGTGGCATCCGTCCGGTTGCAGCTGCTCTTGCTCCTCGTGAACGATGACGAGTTTCGCCTCATGGGCATGTTCTGGCTGCAACTTCTCGACAGGGGCAGCTTCTTGTTCCGCACGAAATCATCGGTTCTGTCGTATCGGTAGCTATGAACCCTACACAGCCTCACCCCTTCCTCTTTTGCATCAGCCTTCGCTTCCTGAATGCAACACGCGCATATTTACAAACCTTTCATACATTTGCACGAAAGATTTAGCGTTTTAAACCCTATCCATACGCAATAACCTATATCTGGGTTTAAAACGTTATACGAAATATGTTCTTCTTAGGATGTTTTAGGTCAATTTACGAAAAGGGTTTGGATCATTACCTGGAGAATCTGCGAGGGAAGATCCTTGACGTCACGTACGTCCACATGGTGATGGTGATCTTTGCGTTTGGATTTGGTCTTGAGCTTTGTCTTGGTGTCGAAGTCAAAGGAAGAACACGAAGAGAGCTTGCTGTTCTTGTCGCGTGGCCATAGCTTGGCGATCGATCTGCATAGTTTGACCACGTCACGGAGGAGGAAGCTCTTCTTCTTCGGCACCCCTTGTGTCGCCATTTCTGATGGAGACGGCGAACGACACACAAAGAACAACGACGACGACGACGAGAGAGAGAGAGAGAGAGAGAGAGATGGGTCTCCACGGAAATGAATCGTTTTTTTTTTCTTCCTGAAACTCCTTTTTTTAGATCATGAAATAACTGTTTTCTATGTATTGGGGATGAAGTCATATTGCAATCTTTACGAAATTTTTATTTGATTCTGAATGTTTTAGTCAAATATCCGACGTATCAATGGAGTATATTCATACAATATTCTCAAAATATATTTACTTAAACAATCGAATTTGACATAAATTTCACGGCATTATTATAGATATTTCTCATAAAAAAATATATGATTATAAATATAAAAAATTTTAATTATAAATAAATTTTGAATTTGGTCTACTTTACCAGGTTAATAATCCAGAATTAATAATTTGATCTAATTTTTTTTAACACAAATCAAAGTTAAATTATATATATATATATATGCATGCACATTGCACACACGAAATGATGCATATACATCCGGGCCGTATGAAAAACATCCATGCATTATTAATAGGAAATTTTCAATAAGGGGAAGATACCAAAGTAGGCAATGCATTGATTAAAATACGTTACAATGTATAGGGATGGATACACTTACATACCGAGCCTATGAAAAGTATCCAAACCTGAAATTGAGTATTTTAAGGTACCCATATTTATCTTCTATTAGATTTGTCCGAATCAAAAGTCCGATACGAGGAGAGAGAGGGGGAGGCTAAATAAAAAGACACTGAGGAAGAGAGCCGGATTGTCTTGTACGGCGACAGACCCACTTTGAGGTTAATCTTCAGGTTGAACTCAAATGAAAGCTGGTTATGGGCTTGTCGAAAGGGGAGGAAATAGCAGTTCACTACAAGAAAATCTTGATATAGCGACGGAATTTGCGACGGAATTTTTCCGTCGCAAAGAAATTACGACAGAATTCGACGAATTTGGGACGGAATGCGAAAATTTTTATTCCGTCGCAATTAGTCGCAAAATCCGTCGCAAATTTGCGACGGAATACGACGGAAACGTTGTCGTCGCAGAACCAAACATTATTTGCGACAGAAATTTTAAAATTGCGGATTTGCGACAGATTTGCGACAGAAATTTCTGTCGCAAATATTAATTTTATTTATTTTTAAATTTATGGTATTTATTTTTGGAATTTGCGACAGAAATTTCAGTCGCAAATTTAAATTTTATTTTTTTTCCGCTATTTTCGATGAAAAATTTTAAATTTTCGCGGTTTATTTTTCGTTTTGCGACGGGTTGCGACTGCAATATCCATCGCAACACTTAATAAAAGCTGCGACTTCGTCTTTCTCCTCCAGACTTCGAAATTTTTTTGTAAAAAAATCTCAATCTTCTCCAATCTTCTCCAACAAATTGTTTTTCTTCAAAATTCGCCAAGGTATGTGTATATATATCGTGTATATGGATTTGTATATGTATGTGTTGTGTATATATATATATAT